CCTTTCCTTTGAGTGTAACCGATTGTTTTTTGTTTTGTCTTGGTCAAGTTTTGTGGGGGACTAACGGAAATGTGTTCACGATAAACTATCTATCTTATTAGATAGCATCACTAGGAAAGTATCCCGTGATAAAATGCAGGCCTGAGGTTTAGAGAGAAAAAGATGCCTTTTATGAGGAGCTTCTTGGCTCAGTGAATCAATTTGGTTGAATTTGAAGAAGTTTGAGGATTATCGGAGCAACAATGGCACTTTCTGTGGGTTTGGAAATGATATCGGTGTGCGTTAGCAGCGAAAATGCACAACCGCATACCAGGTTAAATTGTTCTTAATCATTTGTCATTGGAACTCTATGGAAGGCTGGATCGCACAAATCATTCTTACATTGCTGTATTAAGATTCGACAGATTATAACACTTAAATTTCGTCCACGGCGGACAATGAAGTAATACAGTGGCGCAGATAGGTTTCTGTTTAAGGTAGAAGTGGTGTTGTGAAGTTAGCTTTGTCAAGAGGAAGGGTGGGGGGAAGGGGGGGTGGGTTTACCCTCAACCTTGGTAGTCATTAAGAGAAATTCCGGATTATTTTCTGAAAAAGAGTGAGGAGGGGGGTTAAATACACTTTAAAATCCCCCCTTCCCTCATCATCTAAGATTGCAACGTCGGTATTTACACGAAACAGTAATTCTTTTATCTTCTTTTAAGTGTTCTCCTGACACATTCCCCCTCGGAGTTTGGAACACTTAAAATTCATCAAACCTTTTTCGGAAAGCTAGCATTGTTTCCGTTGTACTGTCAAATCGTTATCGCAAGTAATTAAAGGTTATTGACCTAAGAGAGCCAACAAACTGCGGTAAAGAAACTTGTACAGACCCGTGTATGGTACACAGATCGAAGGCTTTCAACTTCATATCAAGAACAGGATGAAAAATTTATTTAGGGTGCAATTTTGATATTTAATTTTGTCATCCGTCACAGAATTTCACTTTTAAAAGATGGCTCAGTTTAATTAGCTTATCAAATCTTTGCGTGAGAGATCAATCTACACAGTCTAGGGCTAGATCTTGAATTATTTTTATTTTACCGTAATTCGACCCACATACCAAACAGCACGACCGTCAAAACTCTTTTTTATCTTTCAGACCAACGTAGATTCGTTGGTTCAGCGTTTTCCTGAAAGACTTACGACGACTTGAACGACGATGTTCTTAGAAAGAGGTGTTCAAAAACCTCCTCGGAGTATTATACTCCACATCAGAGTTCGGCTCCTCAGCCGATTCTATTCCAATTTAAAAGGGAAAGGAACCTCTCTTGAACACCTTCAATTGAAAATTGGTAATTTTTTCAATAAACGCTACCAACGAAGGGGTGTTCGAGAATCCCCATGGGAGCTTGATGAGAAGATCCATTCAGAATTCTTATCTTATCTTACCGGGAGAGAAAAATGAAAACCTACTCTGGGAAAACGTACCACAATAAAAAAAAAAAAAAAAAAAAAAAAAAAAAAGGCTGAATATTTTTAAGGTCTCTGCTTTATATGATCTGAAGGACGATGTGTGCTGAGTTCTTTCAAGACGATCAACCTTTTTTTTTTTTAAAGAATTCCTCGGACTGGAGCAGAGACCCAACGCAGCGACGAATTAAATTTGTGATTAATTTTTTTTTGGCGTGTCAAACCAGTCCTCCTCTGCGGGTGAAACAAGAATTCGTATTTCGCGTGAATTACGTGAAATCACTTTCAATGTAGCGACGAAAATGAAATGATATAGTCCACGACCAGACGACTATTAAACAAACAATTAATTTGATACAAAAATGATAATTAAAAAAAAAGACAATCATTTAATTCCTTCCGTGTTTTCAGACCCCCAGGTTAATTGTTTTTGTTTTTTCAAAATAATTTAAAAGCCTCTCTGGCTTCTCTGTGTATCTTTATAAAATAGGAAGGGGTTGGATGAAGCTGCGGCCAAAAGATAACCGAAGAAAGAACACTTCTCGATCCCATGGATCCTTGCATGCTTTCTGCGTTCCCCTAGAGGGATTCAGTCGAGGGCAATAAAAGGAACCCCCCTATTGGCAGCATTGTTGTTAGTATATAAATCCCTCGCCGCGAAGAAGAAGGTGGCTTTCCTGAAAGCCCAGCGCTAAGGAGAGACTGGACTTTCGTCAACAAGCGCTCGGAATGGCGACTTCAAATGTTGTAGTAAGTTTAGGGAACGAATTTAGTGCGTTTTTGTGATAGAAATTTGACCATTCCATTAAAGACCTTTTTTCTAACAGCCCAAAATATATAGTGGCGTGATCGAAGAAGTGATCAAGAATGTGCGAGACAGTTTCTTGAACGAAGGGGTCGATGAACAAGTCCTTCAAGAATTAAAACAGGTAAGAGAGCGGTTAATGAGGCAGAGTAAACAAGAAAAGACAAATCTTCAAATTATCGTCTTCCTGTTGATGTTAAACAACGACCCAGTAGACAGCGCCATGATTCTTCCTTCACGAGAGTCGTCCACGAATGTGCGAAAACCTGTGACGCGCATAAATATTGACGAAGGAAAGATTCATCTAAATTTTGCTCCTGTTCCACATTCTGTGAAACATTAAAAATGTTTCAAAGAGTTAAAGGGAAAATTTCCATGAAATTGTGATTTTTGTGTTCTTTTATTTGCTCGGTGATTCATTCACAGACTCAGCTGGGCTTTTTCCAGCTTTCTTTCACCATATGATCAATTTAACTCCCAAAGTGTGAATTGACGAATGCGCTCGTGCAGAAAGAAGCCTTCATTTCTAATCAAGCTTCACGAAAATTTATAATCCCCATCCTTTACCAATCCGATTGTTTGTCACAGTATTTGTACCGTCATTTTGGACGCCATTGTTATTCGTGTAGAGCAAGAATTGTCGAGTACTGGCAAAGAAGGGATTAGAGTGGTTAAGTACACAGGTTGAGCAAAATGTGTCATAAGGCACTGGGTCAGAGTGGTTAGTTAATCGGGGAAGGGGTGACACAGTATTTCGTCTGTACTTACCCGAGTTAAAATTGGTTCTCAGACACTCTGGATATTCTGTAATTTTAATGAGAGAAAACCCCAGGAAAATGCTGAAATGGCATTTCAGGTTATTGAAATTTAACCAATTTGAGGGAGAACATATCCCCAAATCCTTCCCTTGAAGCATGTTTTTTTTTTCTTTTTTTTTTTTTGCATTTGACAGTATTTGGTCATGCCTGATCACTAAATAGACTTCCTTCTACACTGAATTTTCTTATAACCCCTTAGCCAAAAAAAATGTGAGATTTTGATTTTTTAGAACTGGTGGTACACTTTTGCCAGATGTCAAATGTGAGATGACTCCACAAGAAATGTAAACAAACTGATTGCCAAGATCTGTCTTGGAACAAATGGAAATTTTTTCCATATTTAAAAAATTCACTTGTCCAAGAGAGGAACCTTTAATTTTGATAAATTTACCATTTTTGTCAATGTCTAGGGAATTTGGGCTTGACAAGGGTAATAAATGAAGTCAGAATCTTGTCAATGTCTAGGAAATTTGGGCTTGATTAGGGTTATGAATGAAGTCAGAATCTTGAAAAAAATTAACACTTAAGTTTGATTTAGATATGAGATCTGCATTTTCACCAATTATTTGCTAAACTTGGATGGCTTGAATGCCAAGCTAACTGGCTTGCATAATAAATGATCCAAGATCACTGATTTGTATGATTTCACACTTTGAGTCAAACAGCCACTCTTTTATATACTGATGTAAATCAATTTGTCCTATTAGTAGAAGAGTACTTGTAGATTATTCAAATGAATAACAAAATCCATTATTTCAATTATGAACTGAAGAAGATAAACACCTTCAAAGCAAATAGAAAGGTCAATATTCAGATATTTTACATCAAATCTTGCTCTATACTAGTAAAATTTGTTGGGACCTCACTGTAATTTTATTGAAAAGAGAGAGATAGGATCCCTTTTCAAATACTGCATTTTCAACAATGAGTTCATGACTAACTTTCATTTCTTTAGATTTGGGAAAGTAAGCTCCTTCAGTCGAGAGCTGTAGATTGGATGCCAGCAGAGGGTCACCAGGTGACCAGACCACACCAGTACACTTACCCTCATGGTCCACCTATTACCCGGCAAGTTCAGGAACCTAGAGAAGGTATGATCATCATAGGTCTGACTATCAGGGGAAGGAAAATTTTTAGAGTGCATGTGACCTTACCTTCTACCCCTTTGAAAAAGGATCATTTGAAATGTTTCATGCATGTGAAGCTTATTTCAGGATGCATATCTATTATGAACATAGCAATGGGTTACATGTAGTTTGCCGAAGAGTTCTCTTTAAGGCAGTGGTAGAGCATGGCAAAGCTGAATCAGAAGCCGTGGGGTTCAATTGTGTTGTGTTTTTTTTTGTCCTCTCTCATGACCATATGATTAACCCTTTCACTCCAAACATCTTGTTTGTAATTCTCCCTACTGTCTGCTACACAAACCTTATGATGTTTGTTTGGAGAATTTGGTATTGGATCAAGTAATAATCCCCCTAATTGACCTTTTTCTTCATTATCATCTCTTGTCTGCAAAATATTGTTTTGATGTTGTTAGGAGAAATCCACCTTGGTCATTCATGGGAATTATAGGGATAACATCTTTTGTCTTGTCATTCCTGAGCTCACAGTAAATCCTTTTTCTTTTTCTTATGCCTATTTGTGGTGGAGACAAGACAAATGTGGGTGTCTTGTGCATGTGGATTCAAGGTTTTTCTCATTTTGTTGAATAACTACAATTTAAATAAACAGACCTCATTAATGGTTGTTTATAACTTTTGATTTTTATAGTAAGTATTGCTCCTGCAGCTGTAACTGTACCTGAAGCTGCAACTCCCCAGCAAGCAGCCAGTGGACACACAGCTATATTGTACCCATCAACTCATGCTCATGCACTTAGTCAAATGGTATGAGAAGCAGTGTTTGTTGAATGTGCAATGGATTTTTTA